AGTAACTTGTGCCGTTCGGTTTCGGAGAATAAGATGTGTGCTCCTGCGAAGGAAGTAGGAATTTATTTGACGAATACTTAAATGGTCTAAATACTCGTATGGTCCGGCCCGTTAATAACCAAACGAGTATAATACTCATATGGTCCGACCATACGCGTATGGTCGGACCATATAGGTATACGCATATGGTCATGATCATACGCGTATGGTCCAAAACATGTACACTATACTCGGTGCGATTTAGATCATGACCTAAATATGGTATGGACACATGTCTGTGAAGACCATATGCTGACTTATTAATATATGTCCTGGTATATTCTGTTGCTGGGTTGCCGTATACCCACATCATTTTATTCATATACACAAATCATATCTTTCAGATGTGCAACTAGTCAGACAGAAACTGGTTACCCTTCCGAATCATCTCAGTTGAACCCAACGTAGTTCGCGTTGTTTACACTTTTTGTTTTTGTTTTGTTGTTTTCTCCTTGTATTTTACTAGTTTTATCATTGTGTTGTCTGTCCTTCGGCTTACGATATTTAATTGCCCACATAATATCTTTTTGCTGTCTGCCTGTTTTTCTTTTAGTTTTTATTATTTTATTTTGACAAGTTTTTTTATTTCAAATTGTCTCTCTTTTCTCTGCACCTATAACTGTTGTTCCACTTAGGCACGTAAAGAATGTGAGGGTTAACATATTTGAAGGCGCCAACCCTCTCTCTAACCTGGGACAGTGGTGTAACCGTACATCATAAGAACAAACTATAAAAATCAGTTGAAAAGGGCTTAGCTTACCCGATCGATACAAAGCAGAAAATCATTTAACAAAAACACAGACAGGACGTGTACTTAAAAAAAATATATAACAAAAATCTTACCTGTGATTTTTGATTTATAGCAACAACAAAAAACTAGGGACAAAGATCAAAATACAATTGTACAACTAGATTATATTTTCATTATGATTGTTCCTCTGTTCAAAAGATACTCCACGATAAATCCAGCTGTGTGATTGAAATGAAATTATTATTATGAAAACTGCGTACAGTTTAACATGGATAAATAGCTTGAAGCAATTTTAAGTGTAAAAAAAACAAGCGCAACAGATGAAAAATGTTAACCTAAATATTTATGTGTTTAATTTATCATCCCAGGAAAGGTTGTCTTTTTTCCACTCGCGACTATTTCGAACCTTTCCATCAGCTGCCGTCAAATAATATATCATAATATCTTGTCATATGCGGATCCTTTTTGTCCTCGTTATTTCTTTGCTTGTGGTAATATGTACTGTGTGACGTGTTGAATAGATAAGTAATTTTTTCTCGGAATTTATATGATCAGATGAATAATAACAGGCAGGATTTTACACAAATCTAAAAGATCTGGAAACGCCTTTGAAATATCACATTCTTTAATTAAAGGGGCACTAGCTGTCAAGTTCATGTTCACCGATTTGACTCAAATTCTCATATTTGATTTATAACAAAATAAAACATTTATCCAAATTATAAAAAGTCTAAAATAAACAATATACAGGGCATGGGCTCGATAAAATATAGCTTCGTTTCGTGTGTTTTCTTAGTCTAGACGCCATCTAATTAACTGTCGAGTTGACCCCTGAAGACCTCCGATTGCCATATAAGCGATATAAACATAAATAAAGATATAAATAGATAGCAGACGCGTGCATTTGGATTTTTCTAGGTCTGTTTAATTTCATAGTACAGATTAAAAATATATGTTAATCATCGTTTTTACCTGTATTAGAATGATTTTTTGTGGATCGAATCAGTCAATCAAATGATTTACCTTTGTTTCACTTTCAATGTTGACATTCTTTTTCTTTAAATAATTGAACACGCAATATGCATGCGGTATCCATCTCTAGCCAAGGGGTTAAATTGAAGTTCTCATGAATACGGATTCAATGAGGTCGAATTATTCACTTGCAAGTGAATAATTCATCAGCAATGTTTCTTAGCTTATTTTGACAAAATTGAACCATACTGGCTGCTAAAAGCGATATATTATTTCACTATTGCACTTTCATTAATGATTGAACATATAAAATCATATTTTATATTTTTTATATATCTCGTAGCTAGTGCCCCTTTTTAAGATTGGAAATAAACTAAAAAGTATGTAGCCAATTTTAACTAGTAGTTTCCTATACTACTTATATATTTTGTATAAGAAAGAGATGGACTAGTAATGACAGAACACGTGACGCATCTTATGTCAAAAGAAAAGTCATCCATATTGCTTATGTTCGTCAAATGTCTTCCTATAAAAGCAAAGGGCCACACATTGACAGTCACGCACAAACTGGGGGATGCTTTCTGTATTTGTTAGATTCAATTCAGATTTATTTTAAGGACCCATATGGGCAAAAATACTGCCATACCTAGTTCAAGCCATAGTAAATCGTTATGCAAGAATCAGAAAACAAAACTGATACTGATAGTTCAAACAGAATTCATAAATGAAAATTATAACAATCATGGAATCGTCCAATTTTGTATACCAGTCGGAAACAAGTTTTGAAAAACCTTTATCAATTCCTGTCCTATCTCCTGTCTCTAAGTTATTCATGTTTAATATCCGTTGTTCCAATAGAATATGTTTATCACCTGATAGTTAATTGGATGGATGGATGGATGGGTGGTTGGTAAACGTCTCGTGGAAATGCATATTCGTTACGAGAGTGTGTTAATGTGTCATAAAGGTTTTCACTTGGGGGGGGGGAAGGTAAACCGGATTCACGTGCTACTCAACAAGGTAACAGTTAATAAGAACACACGTGACGCTACCGGGACATATTATACTGAGTCCGAGCCTATCTATGTCACGGTTGCTCCTACTCCTAAAGGATGCCTGCTAACCGGGGAACCAGCAAATAGTAGTCTGCTCTTCGGTGGGGTTGTTGACTCTTTGACACATTCCCCATTTCCATTCTTAATTTTATTTTAGTTAGATGGAAATACGTTGACAATAAAATCAACAAACTGCGATGAAGTTTATAAAAAAAAACACTTGTTATAGATGAACTTTGAAATTTCCAATTTACAAAATGAAAAAAATATAACAACTAAAAAATAATTAATATTCAAGAAGTCGTATGCAAAATTAAGTAAAGGCTCAAAAGGGGAAGAATCAAATTTACCCATTTAATGGAGTCTATACTTGCTACAATGATCCATTGAGAGGATTATTTGTACACATGCGTACGATGGAGGTAACATCTTTCATTAGACAGGATGTGACATGGTATCTAAACATTCAGTACCTCAAAAACGTTCATATGGAAAGTATTTAATTTCCTATACTTTTATTGTCATGATAGAGACTATGAGTGAAGTTACATGGTATACAACTGATAATCCCCCTGACTCTCAGCAGAAGAACTAAATATCTATATGGTTGACATACTAGCTTTTTATGATGCCGAACATATAAGGCATTTCTGTCAATGGTAGTGGCACGTGCTGACTATTAATGTTGTTGGTAGACTATTTATGATGTTATAGAAAACTAGCTTTTTATAATTCCAGACTGGTGGTATACGGAATTTCTGTCGATAGTAGAGGCCTTTCGCGATCGTGCTGACACCGAAAAGTTTAAAGGTTCGCTTTTTTTAATTAAAAAGAAAGAAAAAGTAGTAGCAATACAAGATAGAATACAATTTGCATAATCTCAATGTCAATGGTTGCTGTCTGCCATATTTGATTTATGTTAATTCTTTAGTCATCTCATTCGAATTGTTTCAAATTTTGTAATGTCGGTATCATGTATATCCGACTACACAGTGTTGTCACGGAATAGAAGTTCCTTCATAATATAAGTTCCAAATGGAAACAATATTCTGGAATATTATTTCCACTGGAATAAATATTACAGTAAATGTTCCTAACGGAATAAATGGTATAGAATAATTGTTCCAACATGAACAGATATTATGACATTGTTTATAACAAAGTTTGCAGTGGAACTTCTTTTAGGCTGAACAAATATACATTGACAGTGTGTGTGTTGCTCGTTATTGAAGTCCGGACGGTGACCTATAGTTGCTAACATCACTATGCGTCATTTGGACTCTGGTGGATAGTTGTCTCAACGGTAGTCACACAGCATCTCATTATTATAAAATAATAACAATTTGTTTACGAGAAACATAATATTTACAGATAAGACGGTTGTATCTGTAACCTTACGAAAGATAGCCAAAAGATACCAAAGGGACATTCAAACTTATAAGTCGAAAATAAACTGACAACGTTATGGCAAAAAAAGAAAATACCAAAAGGCAACCAGTATACAAAACACAACAAAAAAAAAAACAAAGGACTGAGCAACACGTTACCCACCAAACACCGAGGGTGATCTCAGGTGCTCCTGAAGAGAAAGCAGATCCTGCTCCACATGTGGCTGCTGTAGTATTGCTCATGCAAGTACAAACCCGGTGATAAGTCTAATTCGGTAGATGACATTCGGTGAAAAGGAGGACGGGAATGTGGGTACGACGATTATAACATATCCGTCGTCTTCTGTTAAACAGTTAGGGGGAGGGTTGGCGCCTCCAAACATATTTAACCCCGCCACATTCTGTATGTGCCTGTCCCAATCAGGAGCCTGTAGTTCAGTGCTTGTTGTTGGTTCATGTCTGTCATATTTGTTTTTCGTAAAAAAAATTTTTTTTTATAAATTAAAGAAAGACCGTTAGTTTTCTCAATTGAATTTTTTTATATTTTTCATGTCGGTACCTTTTATAGCCGACTACTGGTATGCGGTATGGGGTTTTCTCATTGTTGAAGGCCGTACGGTTGCCTATAATTGCTTACATTAACTTCATTTGAACTTTGTGGATAGTTGTCTCATTGGCATACCACATCTCCTTATTTTTTTAAAAGATAACTTTTATGATAATGCAAGGTGCGATATTACTTCAATTTTGCCAATGAACAAAAACGCTCTGCCTGTAATTAACAATAGGAATATGTTATATCAAATTTCGTCTTTAATGAAGACGTTAAGCTGTCAATTGCAGTCCTGGTGTTTTTTCCATCACTTTTGAATGCCGAACAAAAGACAATGCATTCCGTAAACATAATTTCTCTATGCACTTCTTTTTATTTGCAGTGTCCTGCATTTTGCTACACATCGAACACAACATGTTTGTCAATTCAGCAACAATAACTTTATCTCTTTCTCTATCTTGGTTAGATTGTTTGCTTCTTTCTACAATAAGATACTTGTATTTATTAATGTTGAACAATCTTAATAATGTAATGATATATATTTATACAAAAAGAATAGCAGTGACGCTAACCCTGTCAACGTACTCGGTATCGCTGCTTTTGGATTTCATGCAATTTCCTAAGTTGTTTATATTCAAAATGGATTTACGAGATTTAAACATATGTCATATTGTCAGTTTGTAGATCTTGCTGATAATTGAGTTCAAAGGCCAATAAAATGTTCCGCAGTGCGCAGCTTGCTACGATCGCAGAGGTCGAACCCTCAACAGTTTGGGCAAGTATGGACACAACATTCAAGCTTGATACAGCTCTGAATTTGGATTCTGGTTAAATATTTGACACAGCATAGATTTATGACACAGAATGAATGTGGTCCAAGAACTTAAAAAATGGAAATTGGAAATTTACCTATTATAGTTCAATATCCAAAATCTAAATACATGGTTAGATTCAACATATCATAGAACCCCAAGAATTCAATTTTTGATTATATCAAACAAAGTTTAATTTTGGACTCTTTGGACCTCAAGGTGGACCAATTTAAAAACGAGCTCCGAAATCAAAAATATAAATACACGGTTAGAATCAGCATATTAAAGAACCCCAAGTATTCATGACTTTGAATTAAACCCCATTGAAATTGGTCAAGAAATAAGCAATTTTAACAAAGAATTCGAAAGGTATAGTTTTCGGCCCCTTTTTCCTAAACAGTTAGGGCCATAACCCCCCAAAATCCAACCCAACCTTCCTTTTTTGATATGGAACTTTGTGGTACAATTTCATATAGATCCATTGACTAATTCTCAAGTTATTGTCCGGAAACCAGAAAATCCTTGTTTTTTTCCCTTATTACTAAACAATTTGGGCCATAACCACCAAAATCAATCCCAATTTTCCTTTTGAAGTATGTTACAATTTTATAGAGATCCATACACTTATACACAAGTTATTGTTCTGAAACAAGCAAAATGCTTGTTTTTTTGCCCCTTATTCCTACGCAGTTGGGACAATAACCCAAAAATCAATCCCAATATTCCTTTTGTGGTATGGAACATTGTAGTACAATTTCATAGAGATCCGTAAAATTATACTCAAGTTATTGTCTGGAAACCAAATGTCTTCGGACGATGACGACGACATCGCCATACTATTATATGGCCGCAAATTTTTGGAAAACAAGTACATTGACCCCTCTTTTTAAAAATGACATTTGACTTGATTATGTATGAAGTTTATATGTACCAATTTTTATGTACACATCACGAATGATTTTTTTTAAATTAGATACATATATAGCAAAAAAATACGATTATTTTTCCTTAAATCACGAAAACTTGATAAAAAACGAAATATTTCCAAAGAAAAATTGCATACATTTAGAGCATACTTATGTTTAGAATATATTCTAAAAGTTTAAAAAAAAAACCCGCTTGTGTTTTTTTCAAACAAAGTCCAAGAAACCGACATTTTAGTGAATGTCAAAAATTCCGACCCCATCTATCTCTAAAAGTATAACACATGCAGGTATCGCTTTTTAACCTGTAAAACGAAAGGACATTAACATGTGATTTTTACATGTAAATTTGATTATTAGCTTCTGCAATGCAAGGATCAAAATGGACAGTCGAAAAACATATTTTGCATAAAGATTATTGCGAACCAAATGAAACTTTCCACAGATTCATCTCCTATTGTTCAATATATTTAAACTTTTGTCAGCTCTATTGTCCTATTGAATCAATGCAATAGCTATTGTTCTCTGTGTAGTTTATAAATTTCTTCAAAGAGAAATCTATCACTCATTGATTAATTTACCTGAGTAAAAAAATCATCTTCTAAATAGATGAAAATACATGTTTTAACTAAAAAAATGCATGTGATGTTGTATTTATTCAATATCAATAATATATTGTCAATCTGTTCAATATAAACACTGATTTAATCATAAAAAGTTGATTTCTGACAAAATTTTCAACATTGTTCCTATTTAAATTTGTTTTTTTGTGTGTTTGACAAATTAAAACTGGAAAATGACGATGTTTAAATTAAGGCCTTCTTAGTTGTCATCTGTAACTAAACAAAAATGCAAATTTTAATAGGAACAATGCTTAAAGTTTTGTCAGAAATCAACTTTTTATGATTAAATCAGTGTATATATTGAACAGATTGAAAATATATTATTGATATTGAATATGTATTTTCGTCTATTTAGAAGATATTTTTTACTCAGGTAAATTAATCAACGAGTGATAGATTTCTCTTAGAAGAAATTTAAAGGTCCCAGTGAATAAACTACACAGAGTGACAGAGAACAATAGCTAATGTATTTATTGAATGGGACAATAGATCTGAAAAAAAATTAAATAGATTGAACAATAATGGTTGACTCTGTGGAAAAGTTTCATTTGGTTCGCAATAACATAAGAATGTATGCCAAACGGCGGCTGACGACCTTACACCGAGACTATATAAAGATAATTCGTGCTGGATTTAAAGATCTGGACGAGGACTATCTCCATCCTAAGGATTTAAAGTCAATGTGTGTGAATGTGTGCAGAGTAAGAAAAACAAGAAAATCTTTGAACAGTAATCTGTCAACTACATTAGAATTAGATATATTGATGAGTCCAGAATTGAAAGAGAGAAATTTCAGTTTTTATTTGAGATGTGGGATAAATACGTTATAGAGAAAGTCCAAATAACTGTCCACAGGAATGGACAGTTATTTGGACTTTCGCTAACTTAAAATATACCTTAAATATTAAAAACGAATCTTCAGATTATAACATTTTAAAGAATTTTATTTAGTTTTGTAATGGTTTTCTTTTCATTTTCCCCGTGTTGTACCCAAGAATCCACAGGCAAAATTTAAGATCAAGCTGACCATCTACTCACTTAACGAAGTATTTATGAACAGTAGTTCATCAAAATGTTTTTTGTATAGATATATGATATCCAATTTTTCTTTGCAGTCATATTTATGTAAACCAATACCCGAAATTTACAAAAAGTGTATTGTTAAATTTAGATTGTCATCACATAATCTAGCTATAGAGAAGGGAAGGTATTCTAATGTAAAAGGAAACCTTAGAACCTGTACATTGTGTATTGATGATATTGAGGATGAAATGCATTTTATTTTATCATGTCCTTTATATTCAAATTTGCGTGACTGTTTGATAAAACCATATTATTGGCGTAAGCCATCTGTTTATAAACTTTTACAATTATTAAGCACTACTAATGTAAAAGACTTGTGCAACTTAGGAAAATGTATATTTAGAGCACTGAAGCTCAGAAATGACTGTTTTCAGTAAGTTGATTTGTAATTCATTTGTTACATATATTTGCTTTTTGGAATTATATTTATATGTATTTATTTTTTGTGTATTTAATACTTCTGTCTGTTTTGTCATGATCGTATATTTTTGTAATCTATATTTAGTATATATTTAATATATATTGATTATACATGTACCTATATGTTGTAAAACATTTGGTTAATAAAGAATTGAAATTGAATTGAATAATTACTATAAAAATATCTTGAATAAAGTTCATTCAGGTTTAACTTTTAAGTCATTGGATACGCACGTCTTTCTTGTAGTGGGATTGCAAGGATATTTATTTGTGTCTTTAAGTGGTATTTCGGGAGAGTAAAAAAAGCTAGTATGTATGCATATATGTTAATGGATTATATGTGTTTTTCGTTTGATAAGTATTGGATGTAGAATCGTTTGAGAAAAGTGAAATGGTACAACTAGAATGAATTTCCAGGTATGTAACACTCTAGTATAGGTTATTTAACTAATAACGGTGTGCTCGATTTAAAGTCATATCGGAAAACAAAAATAATTTCAAACCATTTTTTTCGATGAAATAAAATGAAACAAGAAAACAGTATTTCATGCACAACACAACATTTTGTCGTTCCCTTTGCTAATTACAACGAACAAAGCTTGTATTACTATTTTTTTTAAATAGCAATACAAGCAAACTGAAAGTATGTTTCATTTTCCCATATTATTAACCCGAATAATTCAGTCCCTCTCCGTGATCGACTCTCCCACTCGCGAGGGCCTGAATTCTTTATACAATAAAAACGCGTCACGAATCCAGGATTTTGATTGGTGCTCTCTGTGAGAGAGAGCCAATCAGCTAATAACTCAATGTTATCGAGATAGGTAAATCCCGAGCTAATTCCGAATGATTATTTGACGATTTTTTATTGACAAGGCCTTCGTAGAGCAGTGGAATATAACGACTGAATTATTCTGGTTACCATATTATCAGAAAGGAGGCAAAAAAGTTTTAGAAACAAAAATCCGCATGATTAAAAACATTTCTGGATTTCGTTTTGTATGTATTTAACTTAAGTGGACAACAGTTTACCTTTTAATTTCGTTTAAACATTTATTTCAAGATTAACGCGGTTTATTTGCACTGCCGATATAACTGTTATATTTGCCACTGGACATATAACAACACTGAATGAATTCGATTATGTTACGCGTTTCTGTTCGGAAAATTGATTAAAAACCCCGCCCAATATTTAACACAAGCCTTATTCAAATGTTATCCATACCCCCTCAAATTTTATTCATTAATACTATATTTAAATTATAACAACGAACAATCAAATAAAATACCGAATACGCCATTTTGACCATTTCAGTTTCTTGGACTTTTTATTTTATTATAAACCACAATATTATTGTAGAAACAATCCGAGTAATTTTTGTGTTTTTGATTTATATATATATTTAAATGCAACAAACGATTTTTGCTGTACAAAATCAAAATATTTCAAGGAAATGATATCTTAAACGGTAAACTTAAAATCTTTATGTGAAATATATTTTCTCTTAAGGTGCATTCACACGATACGATTTTCCATTCGATTTTCATTCGATTTTTACCTATGCACCTGCTTTCGACTAAAATCGTACCGTGTGAACACTAAAATCTGAAGTCGAATGT